TTTTGCATCATGTGTATACAATGTATGAATACAATTTTATGCTCTAACAATATGAAAATGTAATTCAATAGAAAAGATTTTTTCTCCATTGAAATCAATTTGGATCTGACATGTTAGTTAATTGGAGATGGTCAGGTTTTCTGATGATTATCATCAAATACCAAACATGTCGACATAGTATGGGTGATATTTTATTATTTGAACAAGTAACCACACTATAACTTAATTGATGCAAGTTAATCAACATTAAAGAGTTACATAAATGTAACATCAGTCACTCACTAATCAATGATCTGTTAATTATAGTTTGTATCTGTTAAGGTAATGTGTACAATCAAACCTAGTGGAGATGTAACCTATCATTCTTAAATATCACTAGTAAATAGAATACTTTAAGATTACTGAATTAAGATCTCAAATGAGTTCATATTTCTTTTAATTCTAATCAATTCATGATAGGATTCGGTCAACTCAAACTTCTCTGCCAAATATTATACCATATATGTTTAGATTTTTCTGTGTTCTAATTACTAACGAGATTAATTAATGATTTGGTTTTGAATAATAATAATAATAACAATAATAATAATAATAATAAAAGATGGATAGTGGCCAGCAGTGGAATCCAAGACGCGTGTTTCGTCCTATTCGGGACTCGTCAACTGGATGTACGTGCATCACATAGTTGATGTTCACTGGATTCCACTGCTAGCCACTATCTATCTTTGCTTATAATACTTATGAATTAAGGTTATATCGAGGCAATACACACAGTATGCACATATGGCCAATAAGACACTGACCAGTTCTTCCTTATCCAAAATGTTATGTAAACCGATTAAATATTAAATTTTCATTAAGAAACGTATACTGAAATATTAGCTAATGTTTGTACAATAGAAGATGAAATATCGACTTCCAATAGATTGCAGTGTATCTTTTTATTTTTAAAGAAACCTTCAGGGAATTAAATTTTTTTGAAAAAAAGAACACGGTCAGCTTAATTCCTTGTGTGTATTTGACAGTGAGAGAGTAAGAGAGTAAGAGTGTGTGTGTGTGTGTGCCTACATGAAATATTCTGATTACTAACTAACTTGGTCATAATTAGTCATGCCAACAAAGGTCAGTTATTTTATGCCAATTTATTGACCTATAATTATTAATACATTTCACTCAACTATAATTTTAAATGATTAGTAAATGTTTTCTTCTATAAACCATCTATAAATAGAAATGAATGTGAATTTTACTAATGATAACATTCAATAATGATGTAATTTGTCAGGTAAATATTGCACACTATGTATGAAATTAAACACTGAATGAAAGGCCTACGAACGTAGTGATATTTATTTGCAGGTAACAATCATTATGTAGTCACTAATGACTGGCTATAAGATGGACTTTTGGAGTTTTAGTGAGAAGCCGTGACTAATGGAGTTCAATCGTGTCAGTTGTGAGGCAGGTAATCACTGAAGACAATGGTGGATGGTGACGCAATTTCGTAGATTGGTTGAAGTTAGACATTAACACCGTTGGATACCAGCTCAGTGGTCTAGAGGTTATAATATTTATTTGTTTATTTGCACATAGAAACATAAGTTCAGGGAGACAGCAAAAAACATATACGCTACACAAAGAAGACATTCAATTTATGAGGCCACTACCGGAGCCTTTGACCCAGGGGTCTACTCCACAGGAGGGTGGAGCAGCGTAAAGGGATGCAGTCCCATGATAGCCGGTGGCCAAGAGTAGGTTCATATACCACCTGTCCTCTCAGGATCGTGCACTCCATATCCACCACTGGTTTAAAATCAAAGTTCTTCAACTCCCCTAGGTCAACCCTCTGTAACCACCAAATCGGTTGAAGTGCCGGATAATAATTTTCCGTTCTTGCAATTTCGTATTAACCTGGGATCAACATTGTGCGATAAATTTGGCTTGTGTAATATAGTGAACTGACTGAAGATAGACTTATATACCAATAGATGTTAACTCATTGGTCTAGAGGCTCAATGTTCACACACGGTACTGAAGGTTCTGAGTTCGATCCCTGGATGTGTGGTCGTGAGAAGTGCCATACGAGGATGAAACGACAGTACATCGACTCCAAGTCTTAAATGTCAGTCTAACTTAAATAATTTCATGATTAAACTTGTGAAGATTCTCTAATCTCAGCAAATCCCTCCATAAAATATTGCAACTTACCATCCTCAACTGCGTTCGCAAACTCAATGTAAACGCTGCCACATGACAACTTCATTGAGCTTCAGCAAATCAAGTACATGATTGCTATTTAAGTTATACCACGGTTGAAAACATGAAAATACTGAACAGCCGTTTCTTCTTTGTATGGAACTCCTCATCAGTATACATCCAGGTGTTTATTGTCAAATACGCTTCAATCGTACACAAGTAACTAACTTGACACAATACATGGTATACAACATTTAATGCTAATAATTAATGGACTTTAAAGGTTTATAATTAAAATTTAATATGATTCACTTGTCATTGGTGAATTTGAGTTAGATCGTTCAATTTAATAAAAACAGTAAACTGTTTGTGTTTTCACTTTTGACCCATTTTAAAATAAATTAATTAAATAGGACTCATTAATTTATGTGTTTAATATGGATTCAATGAAACAGATAACTCCATACATGATAATAAGGTTATGTTATATATTTTATTAATTAACACAAATAAAGTTGACATTATGTTCCAAGAATTATGTTCAATACAATGTGTAGTTTATATTCTCATAGTTGAAATCATGAGTCAATTGAAGCTAGACCACCAAGGAAAGCCTGGAAGCACTGGACGGCCGTTTTGTCCTATTATGGGATTCCTCAGCAGTGCGATGAACGGTTGCTCAAACATCGTGGATTGGTTGAAGTTAGACACTAACACTGTTGGATGCCTGCTCAGGGGTCTATCGGTTAAGTGCTCAGGCACGAGACTGGTAGGTCCTTGGTTCGAATCTCGCGAGTGTGGGATAGTGGATGCGAAATGCTAAGGAGTCCCATAATAGGACGAAACGGCCGTCCAGTGCTTCCGGGTTTCCCATGGTGGTCTGGCTTCAATTGACTCATGATTTCAACTATGAAAATACTGAAATCTCCGCAAAACCCCTTCTAATCTATAGTGTATATTGATGTATTCTGTCTAACTGAACAAAATTTAAAAATTGTTTTTTCCTTTTGTTTAGAAAAACAACAACTCTGTAATATCTTTTTTTAGTTCAACATAAATAGACCATGACTTGAAAGTTGATCAACTAACTTTAAGGTCAATTTAATAGTTGATCGTGGGTGCGCACTGCTGAGGAGTCTCATACTGGGACGAAACGACCAATTCATTTATTAAATTAATATAATATCCACAAAACCTCTCTCTGACTTTAAGGTAAACCTTTAATAAATATTAAAATAACTTCTTTCCTATTCAGAAGGCAATAGGGTTTAAAAAAGGGTTAACAGTCTTTAAGACAATGAAAAAGTTTCACAGCATTTTATTGTTATATTCTTACATGTTTAACTTATTTTGTTGTCAATCTTCTTGCTAAATTTAATGTATTTTTGGTAACGTTGAAATATGGCTAGCATTGAAAAATTCAAAATGTTAGCTTTGTCCTTATTGAGACTTTTCTAATGGATGGATCAGTATCTCAGTATCGGTATTTATACCTGTATTCCAGTCCGTTACCAATCTTTAGTTAGCTATTTACTGAAATACATAACTTGTGTGAAAAACTCCTTTATCTACAAATTTTCATCAGGGAACTTTCACAAAAACTAAACATTCAGGACACCTGGTCTATACGATTTGATTTAGACATTGAACTAAGGATTATTATTGTACGTTAATGGAATTGAACTGTATCTATGACCCCTGAATCAGTGACATTGATTAATTTCAACGTCATTATGTATATAATAATGAGAGAGAAAGCGTGTTTTTCAATAATCAGCTTGTGTTCTAGACATCAAGTCACACTTGATACATATTTGAAGGTTAGCAGTAAGGTGGTGGATGAAGGTAGTTGGTAGGAAACCTTCGAACCGAGTTCGTTCTATTTGGTACTCATCAGAGTTCTATGTTGACTACCTCCAATCACCTAACTACCTTTCATCTGAACATAGTTAACGGGATATTGAGTTACTTATACTGGTGGACAGATTATAACTTGATCGATAGAATCGGATCAAAAGTAAAGAAGGATTTAACACAAGATATTGATTACTATTTTGTGATCAACAAATCTTAAATAGAATGATGATAGTATTTATTGAGTGATCACACTTAAGTAGACAGCAAATTGAATTAATTAAACATTATCAGATAACTCTCCAAAATTAGTTGACTCACTGTTGATTAGTTAGTATTAAAATATATTTTCAATTGTACTATGAATATTAGACCGCCTATCGTATAAAATGAAGTTTACCTGAGCTAGAATTTAACTTTTAACTCTATCTGATCTTTGATGAAAGAGATGGATATGTGGGTAGCAGTAGAATTGAGGATGCACGTTTCATGTTATTTGAAACTCCTTTGCTGGATGTATTATTATTTTAGTGTTGATGTTTACAACGCGATTCTGACCTAGTACTCTTCACTTCAAGTGCCAATGCGTTACTACTGAATTCAGAAGCCCATTCAATGTACATTCATCCATCGCTGATAAGTCCCAAATAAGACAAAACGTGTGTGCTGAATTCTACTACCAGACAAAAATCTATAAGATTTTATTAAAAATGACTACATCTAAACAACATCGTAGAGTATCCATATATATGTTGATAAAGACTGATCATTTACAGAGAAATTAAAATCCCTCCTACTAATGCATTTGACCTTATGAACATGCAAAATCAAGAAATTCAATTGTTTATTCCAATCAAAGCCAAAAAATAACCATTTAAAAAAGGCATTCCTTAATTTAAATAAATAAATAGATCAATATTCAAATATCATTTAAAAATATTATTACTCACCTCCTCTTCTGGTTTCACCATAGTTTATCCATGATAGTAATAACAATGATAATATGAATAGATAATTGTTGCCTAGACTTTTATCTGCATTGGTATACATTGAGAGTTTTGACGGCTTTCCAAATAAAAACAGCATATTTGTAAATGTATGCAATACTATCACCAACATATGACTTATCATTAATGGATCATAATACTACTACTGATGAAAATAAGAGTAGACAACATGCAAAAGCTGTAATGATTCATGCTTCAAAATGAATTGGGGAAAAAAATATATATTATATACATTTAAAACAAGACATTTCCATTTTCAGTTCACAATGAACACAAATAATTTCCGATTAGATCACACGTGCAATTCAATCCAAAACGGAAGTTGATCGTATTTGATGTAATCAATGTAGGTAAGGACCAAGTGAATTATAAAAAAAAAACAGAAAAAAAAAGAAAATAGAAAAAAAAGGAAGAAGTCAGAGGAAACAAATCCTGCTACAACATTTACAAATAATTAATCACACTTTATAATCCTTGATGTGATAATAATAATAATAATAATAATGAATAAATGAAATTTTATGTATCTCAGGTATTGTGTTTTGATATAATCAATTTATTGTAATTTGATTGGTTAATACAATTGACCAATCAAATTTCGAGTTTTTGTTACTTGACTATTATTATTATTTATTATATTATATTATTATTAACATATGGACGAATAATGATTTAATTAAATGATTTCGTCTTTTCTTTTTTTTTTCTCTCTCTCTCTCTTACACCATTATATTACTGATAAGTGGGTGTATGTGCGTAATTGTGTATTATACGATATATACATGTTTACGTCGAATATCAAACTGTGTTATAAGTATGTACTGTGAATGTTCACCAGTTTCTGCAAATTGAATTGAAGAAGGCCATTATTGTATTCATAATTATGATGACTCAATAATAAGAGAGAAATAACTAATGAACAGACGAATTGACTATGAATTGTATTGTTTTTGAAAATCGTCTATCTAACTATCTATCTAGGTAGATAGGTAGATGGATAAGTAAATAGGTAGCTAGTTAACTATCTCTTGGAAATATGATATATCTATGTAAACTCATCATAAAATGAGATCAAATTATGAAAATTCGACAAATGTCGTCATCTATTATTATACTATTTGTTAATAAACGTTTATGGGTTGTTAGAATTGATTCATTATCATTTCACAGTGGTGTCATTTTTAATACTGAAGAAAACAGTAGCATTTAACCCTTTTAATTTTTCCCCAGGAATTACTTATTCAGTATCTAAACATACATTTATTAACGATTGGTGTATTGTTCTTCTTTATATATTCACAATTGTCTACTCAATATTTTTGTAGTCAGTATTATGTATTGACATGATTAAAGATAATAATTAAGAACTGTAATGGAAATGGACAGTGATATCATCTTTGTTCGGGACTACTTATCAGTGTTCATTTATAACCCCTTGTCGAATTGAACCATAGAAGTTTATATCTCGTGGAGATAACCCTTCAAACCAATAAATCAACATTTACTCTATTATACATTCACTACTTCGGTGGTATCGTCGTATAGTATAACTAATATTTATTCCCACTGGTGATGTTAAGCTCTCCTAAATTTGATTAAAATCATTAAGATAAATTAATTTTTGATTTATTATTTCCAAAATAAATATATAATTTCAAACGCAATTGATTGATCACTGGGTGGTGATCATTGTCATGCGTGTCAAGTCCTTCTTAGTGCTGATCGAGTGCTATTGATCAAGTTGCAATATGGTTACTAGTATAGGTGACTCAACACTGCGTGCACTATGTGGAGATTGTGATTACATCTCAGTCTTACAGGTCGGTTGCGGCCCCAATAGCTCAGTGGTAACGTCTCTGACTGTGAAGCTGGGTGACACGGGATTGAATCCGTCAGGGAGCACAAGTTACTTCAAGATTACAAGTGCACCTTCTTGACGAGTGCTAAGTAGCACGAAACCCAGGTCCAGGGTTTCCTGTTGACCACCTCCAACCACCATCTTATATAATTTCAATTTCCATGACAAAAGTTGGTCATATGTTCACATAAATTGATTTTATCTTTACATGATAATTTAATCCAATCTAAATAATCGACTCAGATGAATATCATGACAGATCGAGAATTTTTTTAATTCAGTTTTGTGTACGTCGATCTGATCAACTGTTGAATCTACCAATTTCAAACCTGTGGTAAAACGTGCATAAAATATATTTTTCGCCACAATAATATTAAGTAAAATGATATTGGAATATAAATCAATTGGTGCCGTCCAGTGCTTCCACGTTTTCGTTAGTGATCTAACATTGATCGGTTCATGATTCTAATTAAAACTGAATAAATTCCACAACCCTATCCTGACAAAAATTACTTTGATAAGATTTGTAGTATTGATTTAAGTTATTACTATTATTATACAGGTTGTTTACGGCTAAAAAGTTATTTAAAGTTTTCTTTGAAATGATATTAGTTCTAAGTTAAGATTGCCATCATTGATATATCTTTCCTTGATAACTTACAATCTTCTTTACAGTGTTACAAAATTAATGGTGATATTTTAGGTGTTGATAGTCGACTAATGGGAGCTTTAAGTGATAACTGTAAACTGACTGTATATTCAAACTTGAACATCAAGGTAACACACCACTGGAAAGTAAACAACACGTTTAATGACCGAATAATACAGCCGTATGTATATGCGTAAGGCTATCATTTGAACAACCTTCTAGTTAGCGTTTTATTACGAAATGGGGTTGTTAATTCCATCCATGACCCTCATATTTTACCCTGGTTTGAGATTTGTGATGACGGTAGATGGTCTCCAGGTGGAGTTTTTGAAAAAAACTCCAGTGAAAAGGAATTAGAAGAGTCAGTTGAAATTTGATTTCGTTATTAGTCGGTAACATTATTTATGTTGTATGACGTCAGTTAGAAATGTAAAGAGCACTAATAGTTTATACGACGTTTTAATACAGTGAACAGCTGTTAAATACTTGACGGTAGTCAATAGGATGTTCTAGATCTGAATTTCATACGAGTCAGAATTTAACAACAATTCTTGCTTGTAGTCTTTAGGAAACTGAGAATACCAAGTGGACCCATACCAGTGTCACGCAATTCGATAGTCTGACATGTTACCACTAAGATTGTATTGACAATGCTGAACCTCTGTAGGACTGGGTTATTAACGATTGATGTTTATTTGCTCATTTAATGTTGACCAAATCCTTTAGGCTTGCTTCAGTCCCCTGACATCCTAACAGAGTATTGATGATGTCGAGTGACAGAGATAGGATGTAGCTGAATAGCTAGTTGGTCGATGGAAATCTATTAGAACTAAACGATAAGACAAACATGATATTGATAATTACTCAATGATCGATCAGTTGTAGAACAGATCATTGGTTATTGGAATGATCTAATACCCATATCTATATAATTTTTTAAAAATATAACATCAAGTTGAGCTTAGAAAAGGAATCTTAAAGACAAACCAAAAAAACTTTAAATAGTTTCCCGAAAATTCTAGTTTTTTTTTGTTACTTTTAAAGGATTTAATAGAAATGACTATAATTCACTAACCATCTCGATATTTGTCATCTTCAGACAAGTAATGGAAGAGAAACATTTCAATGATATTTGATCATGTCCCATACACTAATTACTCTAAAAGTGGGTATCTGCATATTTAAACAAATCAAAAAGAACTTCAATGTTCAGGGAATTAGTCAATAACACTTGTTATCTTCTTGGTACATTCTGTTCACTAATTATCTCATTATAATCAGGTAATTTTCAAATAGGAATTTACATTGATCTAAGTAGTGTAAATTTGTTTTGTTACAATATGGTCTGCCCAAATAACTACACAAACTAAAAGCAGAAAAAAAAAGAAAACTAATCTAACACTAGGTAAGGTAACTTAGTTTAATCCTCTTCAAAATAATCTTTATTTAAGGTCAACATACTTCATTCATCATTGTTTCTATTGTTTAAAATTTTTTTCACCTTGACACAGTACTGATGTTTCGTAAGAATTGTATACACCGATAAATCTTCTAGACTATATTGTAACTTGATCGAAATAGACGAAACCCGGTTAGACGGTTTCCTGTTAACCACCTCCAACCACCATCTTATCTCAACATAGTGCACGCAGTGTTGAGCCACCTAGACTAGTGGCCATATTGCAACTTGATCGATAGCATTCGATCAGCACTAAGAAGGACTTGACACGCATGACATTGGTCACCACCCAGTGAACAATCAATTGTGAAAACTTGATAGTGATTACTACTTAGAGACCAATTAATGTACATTCAGGGATAAAATGAAGTTTTTGCAAGATGTAGTCAATACCTATTCATGAAATTGATACGTATTGAAAGAAATGTAATCAATTAAGAAATGATATGTAGAAAGTACAGTCAACTTTCTTAAAAAAAATAATAAACACCAATGCTTTATAATTGAATGAGTGATCTACAATGCTTCATTCAGTGTTATTAAATGTTAAGAATAGATTGGGGAGTGGGATAAAAAATGAACAATCAGAATAGTTACTATATAAATAATTAGTTTGAAGAGATATTTTAAAAAAGGTAATTTGCTAAAAAGAGACCATGTTATCCACTTCTTTTTACAATAAAATGTTATTGAATTGTTGAGTTCATGGGTCAATTGAAGCTAAACCACCTGGAACCACTAAACGGCCGTTCCGCCCTGGCACGGGACTCTTCAGCAGCGCGCATCTACGATCCCACTCGCGGGTTTTGTACATAGGACTTCCGGTCTCGCGCGCCAACGCTGACCCTCAAATCCACTGAGCCGACCGGTAATAATGTCTAACTTAAACCGATCCATGGAATTGAGTCACCGTCCACCATTGTCTTCAGTGAATTACTGTCTCATAACAGACCTGAGTATACTTTTCTGGTCACGGTGAGACCAAAGGTCTTGGGTTCGAATCTCACAAGCGGAATCCTGGGCGCTCACTGCTGAGTAGTCCAATGCTAGGACGATAAAGGACGTCTAAGTCTTCCACGTTTTCCATGGTTCTCTAACTTTAATTGACTTATGAACTCAACTATTCAATTACTACAATCTCCACAAACCCCCTTATTG